CAATATCTGAAGGCTTACAAGTGTCTTATATATCTTTAGTGTGCATGCTATTTATAGACATAGGAAATACATCATCATTGACCACCCATAAGCGGTGGTTACAAGGCATAATTATAAATGATAAGTATTGTAAATATAGTCTTTACGATGGGCATCCATAACCTATGAATTTGCAACGGTAAGGAATTTTTTTTCTGCTCATTAAGCATATATATTTACATTCTTTTTTTTTTTTTTTTCAAAAATCAATGGGCAATTAGTTCAATGGAAAAAATATATATATCATAATGACATTAGTCAACTACAAAATTTAGATAACATAACGACGCATGCATATGGTTTCTTATGAGAATATGTTTTCTTGCAAGAAGTTGCGCAGGAGAATAATGCAAGATTGGGGCCATTTCAAATACACACCTCCTTATCAATGTGATCCCGTGCAACTTAAAAATGATGATAACTATATTAAGGCTCTTTAAAGTTTAAATTATTTACATTATTTTTGTACATATCCATGCTTGTTTATGGAAATATTGAACATGATGCTCCTAGTAGGGTTGAGAAGTGGAAGATCATTCAATTATTATTATTATTATTATTATTATGCAAAATAATAATAATAATAAAAATAAAAATAAAAAAGATGTCCTATTGTTTAGTTTTTCAAGTGGGAAGAGGTCCATGACAAAATCATTTCCAGGAAATTTGTTTGAGACCCGTCGTTTTTGAGAGAAACATGCATGTTCTGTCTTCATCTTCTTCTTTCCTTAATTTTTGACTTTCAAGATTTAGGTAGTTTAAAATAAAAATCATAAATTAAAAAGTAATAATAATCTCTAACAAAATTATATAACTACCTAAACCTACCACAGTCTCCTGTCATCAATCAATCATCTATATTTTTGTGGAATTGAGAGAGATTGCCATAAATTACTCAATCCTTCTTTCAGCATCAACATATATATATTTATAAAAAATAAATAAAGACTTCTATAAAAAAATTTAAGCGACTGACTTTCAAAGACTTATCAGATTTTTAATAACTTTTATAAACTTATGTATAGTCCCACAACTAAAGATGTCCGTGGGCATTTTACATTTTTCTTTGACCACCGATTTTGCAGTTCAATGATCATAACTGTCTTCTCTCTTTTTCTTTTTTCTTTTTTGGAGGACCTTTCCTATTAAAAGGGTCGATAGCATATTAAACTCACACACACAACACGGATGCTAGGACTCGAACTCAGGACCTTGCATGAAAGAGTAAATACTCCAAACCACTACACTAGTGGGTCCTTTGCTCATAACTGTCTATTTTAGGTTATGCTCCAAGAGTCATCTTTGCATTAAATCATCCATATTGAAATCTGTTTGGGTGTATATATCTAGAATTTATCAGAGGGTTTGCAAGAAAATAATATACCCAAAAGTAAAGAAGAGAAAATAGTAGTACTAATATGAGTTTCAAAAACAAAACGACAAAATGTTGACAAAAAGAAAATTGAGGAAAAACCTCGTCCAGTGCCATTATGGGCGGAGTGATTGAATACAACAGAAGCAAAAAGAGCCATTTTCACTCCATTAATGCTGATAGAAATAAGGCTTTCAAAGTTGAATTGAACTTGGACACTGCAACTAGTCTTTGAAGGTTGAATGACTTTCTTTACTACGCTAGTCATCCAGACAATTCACTAGTACTTCAAATCAAGGGCGGAATTAGGAATTTTTTAATGAGTGATCTAGTTACAATTATTAGCTTAAAATCTAATAATAATTTTTTTACTAACAATTTCTATAGCTTTTCTAGAAATAAAAGTATACATTAGATCATATAAATCACGCTAATTGTAAACACAATAAAAAAGAAGAAGAAGGAATTAGAGCCATATTATTCACGAAGGAGTGAATTTTATTTAGAAAAATGCAGTTCCGCCTCTGCTTCGAATCAAAGGCGGATTCTAGAATTTTTTACGGGAGGTGCAATATTTAAAAGATTAATAACTCATTAAAAAAAATTAGACAATCAAATGCCCTTATAATTAATCAATATTATTATCTATTCATAGAAAGAAAAAATAATATTACAAGCAAGCTACGATTGTTGCCGCCTTTAATCAATATCAATATAAATTTATCTAACAAAATATCAATATGAAATTAATCTAGTCAAAATAAGATTACAATTTGATTAACACAAATACAAAGAGAAAAAAAAAAAAAAAACAGAAGGAAAAGTAACAACAAGAGTGATGCAATGGCGTGAGAGCCATCACCCTCCGATTTAAAAAAAAGAGAGTGATGAATGTAGACTTAAAAAATAGATGACTTGGATCATTGAAAAAAAATTCTCAGGGAACCTTAA